GGTTTTGTGGAGAGTTTTAGAAATTTCACAGGTTTAAATCATTAGTCGATTGAAGCTAGACCACCATGAAAAAACCTGGAAGCACTGGACGGCCGTTTTGTCCTAGTATGGGACTCCTCAGCAGAGCGCATCCACGATACCGCACCACGCGGGGCTCGAAACCAAAACCTACTGGCTTCGCGCGCGAGCACTTAACCACTAGACCACTGGAATGGTTGAGGTTAGACATCAACACTGTTGAATGTCGGCTTAGTGGTCTAGTGGTTAAGTGCTCGCGCGCGAAGCCAGTAGGTTCTGGGTTCGAGCTTCGCGTGGTGCGGTATCGTGGATGCGCTCTGCTGAGGAGTCCCATACTAGGACGAAACGGCCGTCCAGTGCTTCCAGGTTTTTTCATGGTGGTCTAGCTTCAATCGACTAATGATTTAAACCTGTGAAACTTATCAATATCACAATAAAATATCCATGGAATATAGGTTTACATACTAAGTCATCAACTCTTAGAACCTATTGACTGATTCAGAAGAAGATCAGACACTCAGAAGCTTACCAGAAGAGCAGTAGAGCCGTAGGGCTTCTATCTTCATAAAGTTTGCCTTGAATCTGAACTTGAACATCAGTACGCACGCTTTACGAAGGAGAAAATTAGTCTTAAAATGATTTGCACTTCTCAAGCATTTGCTGTATCCCATGCAACAAAGGTATCATTTTTTCATCCAAAAGAATCTATCCTGAGTCTGACATTAGATAGATCACTTTTCGTTTCGAGTTTTATCCGAGTTAATAGTTTTCCCTCAACTTTCTATTTGATCTTTATAGTTTTCTAATTTGACGCCAGTTTTGGTTCATCCTAACCTTTTATTACACCTGATTTTATCTGTTTTATCCATTTTGAGCATGTTCTTTTTTTGTTTTATGGTCGCCGACGTACTCTACGATCGATTTAACAAATCATATTTCGCCATGGTCATAAAAAACTCACGTAAGCAACCTGGATGCCGTCTTACTTTCGCCTGTGGTATGCAGAACGAGAAACACATAGGTTAGTTTCACGAAGCATGCACAGATATCACTGTAATTGCTTACAACAGACTTAAAAAGTCAGGCTACACATGATTATGTGGTACATGCAAAATGAACGCTTATAATTTGCTGATCATTCACATGGCATGTCCAGGAAAAAAAATTGTCAGCAACTATGAAAATAGGCAGTCCTAAACCAGACAAACAAAAACACTCAGTAAAGTAGAGAATAGGGCCTTCAACAACAATTGTATCGACATTAGTGATGCTATTCTGTAATTCTGCATCGTCATAATATTGACAATGATAGACGCCCTCAGCAATTCTGTGTCCTTCAGCACAAGCTCCGTAAATGCGACTGTCGTCCCCAACATTTCTGTTAGTGAGTGAATCTCCCTAAACAGAGTTTTAAAAAATGAAGGGTCACCATCGAAAATTTTGAACAACCTAGGTTTTGCAGGCAAGTGAGCCAGTTAATCAGCTTTGTAATCTACCACTAAGATTGTTCAACCATTAAGCAAACAGCAGAGTAATCTGAAACGCAGTCCCATTGCAAAACAAAAAGAACCCCGATAGCAACATTCCTGACAACCTGAGAAAACGATCATGATTCGCTGTGATTCTCTAATAATCATGAACACTAAAGACAACTTTGACATTCCTTCCAGCCTGTAGGACAAAAATGACTGGATGCCTCAGGACGAGCTAAACTGGAGCTTACACTTTTCAAAATTGAGCAACCGATGATACGCGGCTCACCCAGGGAAAGGATTCCAATCACCAAAATCATGCAAGACTCCTTCATGTGATGTTATTTAACACTACTGATGGCCAGTCGCTTTTTTAAATCAAATGATGCAAGAATACTACCTTATATATAACATCCTGGGTGCGAACTCATCAGGCATTCCACAAAAAATCTTCCAAGACGTTCTTCGCGGAAAAATATCGTCATGCAAGTTGCCCAGGGAAACACGGACCCCGTTTATGCAGACCATTATATTCCAAAGTATAAATCCATGAGGAAGTCCTTGAAGCTCAATAAGATATTGGCTTAAAAATTGGTGAGACTTGCCGAGCAGGACGGCGATTCTAGACTCCGGTTAATCAAGATAATTCCATCATCCTCTCAACTGGTGAATGTCAGTCTTGAAGCATTTTATGCCAACAGACGTCTGTTAGCAACTGAAATACACATGCATCCAAACAGGTGACATGGTCCAAGCACAAAAGCACATTATAACTGAATGTTTCACTCACGAATTGTAAAGGACAAGGAAAAAACGTAGAAGATAAAGGAGCTATAGACTTAGAAAACCCTATGTGAGCAAGCTGTCTGTCCATTCACATAAAACTCACCCGGACAAACAGAACGAGGACGTTCACGCGTTTCAAACCCATATGAATTGGTGGTGTAGCTGTCCTGTACCTTAGGTCTTGGTAGCACAATGAGTGTACATTCGATAGTTTGTCAATCTTAATGAATCCGTGCGGTGCTCGGTGTGATTGTCCAACACCTCAATGTGTCTAGTAGGAGTCATCTACGGGGAGCACGCTGCTGTCAGGAATCTGCAAATCGTATACTGGAGGGATCATCGCACTATACTCGTTTCGGATCCACTCGCATCCCGACTCTAGGAGACTTCAAACTTGTAGAATTATGGTCTAGTATGATGTTAGTACTGCTTTAATAATAGACCTAATCCTGTAATTGTAGATTTGTCATGATATAACTGCCTAATCTATAAGATCTTACGTGGAAGTCACATCATCGTCTGCACCAACTCAGTACATCGTAACAATTACCAATACATGATAGAGAACAAACTTAGGCTAGAGAAAGAACAATATATTTAATATGAATAAAAGATATGAGGTAACATTCGGCAGGGGCCACGCCTACATGACCGAACCATGCCATACGACCAACTCCAATTAATTCAATTAATTCTTCCCACCCTCTTCATCGTTGAGTTTTTCTCCGTGTTAAATGCCGAATGTCTATTTCCCACATTGTCTCGTATTAAGGCCCAATGACACTACAAACTCTCTAAAATCAATTTCGCTGGGCATATGTACATTGAAGGTAGCAACTGTACTGAAGCTCAGTTCCTTAACGTCATTGAAGTTTGGGATTATCTAAAAATGTGAAGTACGCAACTTGGTAGAGATACGATCAGATGCGTCACACTCAGGCTGCATATTTATAAGTGAGGAATCCCTTAGTGATAACTTCGTAATCCTAGCTCTCCTTTGAAAGTTATCACGCCGTCATAGCCTTCAGCTCTACCAGCAAAACTGACCTAAGACATCCTATCAACAACAGGTTCTGGAATTTCGAACGGCTGGATGTGTCAGCTTTACAGGTCTGCAGAAAGTGGACTGTGAAATACACCCTCAACTCGATGAGGACGCTCATGGAGATTTCTTAATGCATGTGATCTAATGTGCTATAAAACAGTCTGTCCTGCGAACGGTCCCTAAAAATAACAAGCAGCCAACAATCATAAAGAATCGTACTCTTCGAATACTATGATGTGAAGAACAATACTGTATAGGATAAAAATGAACCGGTGACGACGGCGTACATATGGAGTTAAACGAGCAAAGAAACAATGTACAACGATAAACTTCAGCATCAGATAAAGCTGATTGCACCTACTCTCCAAAAAGTCAAAACCGAATTTCAACAGTTGTTAGATCCTAACTACGATGACGTCGCGGATCTTCTGGTGGAACAAAACTTTCAAACATTTCGGCCTTCACCTGGAAGTCGCCAAGACTCTCAGAAGTGAAGCTGAGCGCTGATTTGGTGCATTGCAGGAAGAACACTTATCCTGGCTCAGATATGGTCCGTTCTGCTATGTTGACAGTAGGGGCTTTAATCTTTATAAAACCACCAAGCGAGGTGTTTTTATTTTCGCTGAGCTAACTCACACTATATCAGTTTTCAAGGGTTTTTGACGCAGTGAACCTTTAGGCTACCGGCCGAAAACACATCTCTCTATTCTCTCTAAAATTATGAAGTCTGATATACGATGGTCTACGTAACTACTTACTATCCATAAACATATTATCACCCAAACGGAACGGTTTCATAGAGTTTATTTTCGCATAACCAACTCGACGTCAAAGTTGGTAGGATAAAAACGGGCTTACACATGATACTTCAGAGTGTAAAGTATTCCATTTGAGACATGTTTCAGACTACGAATACAAATTAGGTGACTCGTCTCTGTCGATATTCCACGTTGGAGAACAATCAGAATGTTTTAGTACTCTGTGATCAGAAGTCTTACGCTAACCACGAGCAAAACACCTCTCAAGCAAATCTTGCATTGGTAACATTTAAGGGCATTTCAGTTAGCTTGGCAGGAAGACATTCCACTGAAACTTCAGTTGTTTATAGGACACAATTTAGAGTATAGAAATATAATGCCTCCTCCCTCACTTCAAAAGATAAGAAAACTGAAATGTATCTAATGACGAGCCACGAAATCATTTTGAGAATTCAAATTCAAACTTCATGAAGAGCACCTCACATCACTAGATCTTTACTCATTAAAGTACAAGCGTATCAGAGATGAACTTTTAATGACTTTCGGCATTTTAAGCAGTCGAGAATTCTTCTGAGTACCTACTTAAGCTCAGTCTGAACACAACTGGAGATAACATGGCAGAAGGTACTGTAGGCATCTCCTGCTCCTTAAGATTAGTCAAGTGCTGAAATTATATGCCAGCTGAGTTTGTTTAAGCAACTTTACAGGAGTCCTTCGAGATAAAACTTGACATATTCCCAAGGAATTATGAGACTATCTATAATGTACAAATATCTTTTTATTTTGTAGTTTAATATACTAGGGTTCCAGCCTGGTTGCATCAGTCACTCAATCCTATTGAATACGGAAGCCCGTTGAGCGAAATCATCCTCTATTCCGTTTAGGATTATTTGAAACTATCTGAACATAATTTTAGTGTAACACTCTTGAAATGTTGCGTTACCCTGGTTTTGTGTAGTACTCTTACGATGCATTGAAATATGTAATCGTTATATGCGCTAACTAAGTCATTTTACTTATCCTCTAACTTTATGGTAGTAGAAAATATGAATGACTTTTGCAGAATGATAGTAAAGATTAATAAAACCACGGCAAACAAATTGAATTGACATGAATACTGAAACTTATTATGTAATTTATTAAGGTTTTCACCACGATCTGATATCTACTATAGTTCGATGGACATGACTGTTCATAGTCATGTTAATGGATGAATTTCGCCCCCTAATATGTCCGTAAATACGGACTTACATATATATTTTAACCGGAACATGTACATCAAGGTTCGTAATGTTTAAGTGTTTAGTATGCATAGGTTTCTTAAAAGCTATCTTAAAACGTACCCTGTAACTTATAATTGTCTTTAGTATAAGACATGAACACTCGGTTCCTAAAAATTGTTTTAAGCACAATAAGTTTCTAAATGCAGGAATTCCTGTTGTTATTTAGGTCGCTGTCATCTAGAATTATGACTTATAATACCATTTATTGTGTACCATAATCCCTGAATTTTCCCGTCCATGTAGGTTCAGTCCGTTTAGGCAGAATTAATATACACTAGTGATTGGATCTTCAAAGCACTGTAAATCCCAAGAATTGTTATAGGCCACCTGTCCTTTTATTCTTACTACTCAAGACTTCCTTTCCGTCCTTTTTAAGTTCCGCTGTGAATGGATTTACCTGCTGTATTCAAAGTAATTGCGTTCATGTCCATTAATATTTTTTAGTCCACTTTAGATCTTCCTGTTGCTGGATTTACCGTCACTATTGTCCAAATAGAGTTTTCTGACCACTTAATGGTACTTATTTCACGCAATGGAATGATTGGGGATATTGTAAATCAAGTATTTGATAAAATATTCTTTTAGGTATTGTCCCAAAAAAGCAATCTACCGACAGTAAATGGTCATGTTTCTCATGATCTTGATACTCGGACCCTGTTTGGTCCTGACAAAGTGAGCCTTCATGTTATTTGTACATTAGTGTTTCTTTCGTAAAGAGTTTGAAACGTCTGGTACCATATTGTAGTACACTTCATTACATGTTTCGCTCATATCTTTGGAAAGTTAGGAGATAATAAGCTTCCAAAAATAGACACAATTTAAAAAAATAAATCAATCGAATAGACATCGGGATTTACTTGCTAAGATTGACCTTGTTACATCCCTTTTCATCTCTATCTCTTTATGATTTGATACATAATTTATAATTGAACGAGTAAAACGATTCGATATAGATGCGTGTTTAAGTCGGAATTTTAGTTTCAAAAATTTCACTATCTATAAATGTACTGTGTTGTTGCTTTAGTGAATATCTAAAACATCTCTTTCCCATTTTACGGTCTCAAAAAGTAATCTAACGTCTGGAGATGAAACTGCGTTACTTGCTTTCAATGTAAGTTCATGTGAAAATAATGTGGGTTAAATAAAATTACACTTGTTACACACTAGCTCAAAATTATGTTTGCTTTTTATTGTACCTACCTTCAACTGTATAAAGCTGAGGATTTTGATAAATTACGGATTTTATATATGCCTCATTTCAGTTTTGCTTACAGATATATGATTTATTCCCGTGCAATGCATCAATTGTCCTTTGATATTTTATTGTTTGTAAGTTACCTAATAATTCTATCTTATTCTCCTTTACAGTTGAATACTTGTCTTATCACCAGGCTGATCACTAAGATTTTGGATACTTCAAAAACAATACTTGTTAGTACTGATTTCAAAGAAGACATTTGTTTTAGTGATACTCAACTAATTTGTGATGTTTTAAAAAATATAAGATCGACATAGCATAATGTTTTTGTTCTTGCTTAACGTTTGTGATTAGTTATGTATTCACATGTATAAGTCCTCAGGCTCTCTAGTTTTCGTAATCTCGTGAAAGATGTTTTGTTGAAAATCAAATACTTAAACTGTGTAATTTGAATTGATCATGAAGTGCAGCGTCACGCCAAATAATCATTATTAGTAGGCAGTTTATCAAAAAACATGGGAACATCCTACTAACAACCCCCAAATGCCCTGGTACGGCCGAGAGTAAGGAGAGTCCGCTCTCTTTCTCGAAATGCTCTCACATGGTCACGCGTATATAGCCTCTGCCAGGGAAGTCCTACTCACTGCCTTCTCGTGGCGGGGGTGTTGTTTACGAAAATGAGAGGACGTAAAGCGAATGTCCGGCGCTTTAACCGGATTCCAAATCAATGGTGCACGTGGGCTCCAGTATCTTGCGAGAACAAATGGCGTATGAACCAATTGTTAGTCACCGGCTTCCATGGGACTGCATCTCCTTACGATGCTCCACTGCCTTGTGGATCAGACCCTCAGGTCGAAGGCTCCGGGTGTGGCCCCCTAAGAAAACCACCTGTTTCGGTTTGGGCACCCGGGCAGTATCAAAGCCCTCACACATATCGAATGAGATTTGTGTGGCGCATATGTATTGGTGCCTCTTTGTACAAATATCTATGTGATGAAATAAATAATATAAATAAAGGATAATACGCCGTATTATGAATGATATTCGAACTATTTTAAGGGTTGTTTGATAGATTCCGGATTTCGATTTCCGATTCATTCATAGGGTTTAATATTTACGTCCAGATGCTTAACAAAGTCAGAAGAAATATTGACCCCCACCATGCACTGCAGATTGCAAGAATTATGCTCAGAAAGAGCTACCGGATTTTTGTTTGAGTTCTGTATATATTTTTTGCGTTTTTATCTTTCTCTATTTTCTGAAAATCCGGCTGATAGTTTTTATATTTCTTGATACCAAGGCTGTCTTAATTTTGTTAAACAGGACCTTCCTTTGTGTCTGACCATCAAAAAATAGTGTTTCTGAAATATCCATGCACATCCTCTACATAAATACCTCGTACAGTGAGGAATACAATGACTTCTGTCAATTGTTTCATTTCAACAGTCCAGTCAACCAAGTTTGCTCTATCTCAGTTCCTCTTTAATATTCTGGTAACCATTCTCAAGTAAGTATACAGTGACAGTTCGTTACTCAGAAAAAATCCCCAACCATTGGTGTGTGAGTACCGTCGTTTTACTGTGTAACGATATACAGACAATCAATGCTCGTTATTATGTCATGCATTTTACACCTAAATGCAGAGTACTTCTACAGATTCAGCATTATTTTGCTTTTGCACTCGCTGTTTATGGTGGACTGCTGAGAATAGTCCGAGAATTTATGTATCTGATTAGCTGTAAAAATTCTTATGGTGTAGCAAATAAGGTCAATCAGCAATGTTTCCGGGAATATTGATGGAAAATTATTTAGTCCTGCTCTCTTGGGTCCCCATCTTCCATGACTTAGACTAAATATATAAAAATAAGAATTGGTTCGTTCATGATATATCGCTGTGAAATGAAAGGTAAGATTGACAACCATTTGTCCATCATGATTCTTAGGACGGTCAGTTGAGGATTATGTTGTTCACTATTTTCTTATGTTATAAAATGTGGCTAAGAATATAAATCATCAGGGATTCTGTTGTAGTACCTATTACATTTGTCGTAAAAGTGAGATACGTCTTTTAAACGGACGAAATTTACATTCATTGTTTTCTTAGCAACCCTGTTTAGTTATTCTAGTTCTCTGTTCATTTAATCTGGGTTTGATATGCTAAAATATTGGTTTTCGTCCATTTTTGTTAACTGTGTTATTGGTCTGGTAAAAGAGGTGGTCTTCCCCATTAACCTAATGATATCTAAAGTACATTTTACTGTAACAGAAACATTTCGTAGTTATTTAACTCAATTCAGCTAAAATAAGCATGTTGGGAAAACGTTTACCACAACCTAATGTTTTAAAATAGGTACAAATGTGTCATGAATTTAAACTGGACATTTTACCGAGTGTTACTTTAGCTTTACAATAAGTTATCCAGATATATGCCTGTTTTTTAAATGGTTTCCACTCTACATATATCTTCAATAACATTTATTTTTCGTTTGACTGAAATCCTTGTAACGAACGCAAAGAGATTTTTAACTGTTAAATGGTCATGCTAGCGGGATATAGATTGGATTAAGGCACTTTTTACTTAGGGTTATATTGGGACACGCTGATTAGTTATTTCCTATACAATCAGCGTTAGTGGGTACTTGGAGTAGACTCTAGGATCTTCTTATGTAAAAACTATAAATAAACTAACGTTTCTTTTATTATGATTCCTACTTCCATCCAACCTTTTTTTCGGAATGTAATTACGTTTCTGCTGAACAGTGTTCTGATTTGGGGACTTATCGGGTAAAGTAGTGTCCAAGAATACTAAGCAATAAGAGTAGCTGGGTCGTCATAAGAGGAAATATAACAGGTCACTTTCGCAAACAATGAACGCTTGATGTTATTTCAAGCCCGAGTGAATAGTCCTCTCTAACCTTTTGACAGAGAGTTTAATGGAAGTTGGCTGTATATGTTAGTACCTTTGAGTGCTCTGACAGTTTGACATAGCGCCTAAATTAGTTTGATGAGTAATTGATAATACTTGTTCAAAATAAAGTAACCAGAGGTTAAAGATAATATGAAATGTCGACATAAAGATTCGTTCGATTTAGTGGTTTAGGAAGGATTTATTGTTTTAACAATAGTCTTCAATAAATTCTGGTATCTTTTAGAGGAACATGCAGCATCTGTTTCATTATCAGCATTTATTGCTAGAAAGTGTACAGACTCTTAGCATTAAATTCCTTATGATAAAGTTATGTCTAGTAAGTAGCTTATCAGTTAAGTCATTTTAAACTAACTCGATGTACTTTGTATGACGCATAATTGATACTCTAGTCGATACAAGTTCTCTACAATCCGCTCTGAGTTCCGCGGGCAGTATCACAGCCCTCACACAAATCAATGTTAACCGCTACTGGTTTTATCTTTATTGTGTGGCGCACATGTTCAAATAGTAATAAATTCCTGGCAATGGCCTCTAACGTCTTAACAAATTACAAACAGAACTTACTTAATTATTACCTATAGTTTCCTTTGAATCTAACTAGTCCACAAAACGTATGCACATATAAATAATACCCCAGCCAATTCGGAAATCAAATACTCTAGGTCGTTGAAAATGTTCAATACGATTAACTTGCTAGATGACTCAGCTAGTTTTAACTTGAGAACCACAATTATAGCAAAAAGAATTGTTGTACATAAAAATATGTTCATTATCGGGGTCATAACAGAATACAATGCTCAAAATTAATATACTGAAGTAACCATGATGGTGTTCATCAAGCTAGTAATAATAATATTAAAATTATATACAAAAAGAAACAAAAAATAAAAGGCGGTAGTACATCACGAAATGCTTCAGTTGTGAATTGATATGTTTATATATATAATGTCAATAAATGCATACATAGTATAAGTGTTATTTATTAAACTGGATTACATGGAGTTAGTGCTACTACTACTAATTCATTTGGTACAACTGTAACATATTCGACGTTAGTTGAATTTAAATTCTGTTCAACTGGTAAAACAGCTGGTGTATTGTTATCTTTTCGTTTAACCTCTTCAACTATTGTTCGTATCGTTTTCTCATCGTCTTTGTAAGCTGGATTCGTTACAGATTTCATCCCATCATCATTCTGTTTAGTTTTCATCAATTTGCTACCTTTAAAAATTCTATGAAATACACCTTTACTTATACCTGCCGAAGTAAAATATTTATCACCAGCATGTGGTAAAAATATACTAAATGCAAATCCGATAAGTGCCATAGCTGAAAATATCAATACTGCACCTAATGCAGATACACGTTGTAAAAATACTTGTCCTAAATAAGGTGATGTTAATACACCAATACGAAAACACGTTGACATAATACCAAACACAAAACTTCTTATACGTGGTGCATATAAACCTGTTATATAAATTGCAGTCGCATTATTACCGGCTGATGCTACAGCTCGTGTTGCAAAAAAGAAGAAGCGTAATAGATTTGACGGCATGCAGAAAGCCTGAAATCGGTTGTAAAGAAAATGTAATAGGGTTACATTAAATAAAGTAATTTTTAGGAAGTTACAATAATTTGAGGTTGGTCTGCATTAAAAATGACTTTCTGGTTAGCGTTTTTTTATCAGAGTTCTTTTTCTACGGGATTACAAATCCATATTTTCCGGAAAACCATTGAAAATCAGGAAGAACAAGAACAATATTTACTTTTCTTTTGAGGTCCTCAGAAGCTTTGGTGTATTGTAAGGTTGGGTCTGTGAACTCAAGGGTCCCTAATGTGAACTGGTATTCAGTTATTGAATTAATTGATGAAGTTGTTCAGTAGCCCCATAGTTTCCTATAACGAATCAACTTATCCAAATATTCAATAAAAATGTTGGTCAGTTTTTCATAAGTCAATATTTTAGGTAAAAGACATTCACTTAAACTTACATGGACATACGAATCCATATTTCATAGTTCCATGCTAAGTATAGTGTATAATCTTATGTTCCAGTATACATGTTTAACACTATATATTTATATAAGCCCGCCTGGAGCGCCTCTGGGGCTGCTGCCTGTCCCAAGCCCGGATAAAGGAGGGTTTAGCATGAGGTTAGCGACCCCATCCCGTAGAAAAGTAACACTAGAAAAACGCTAACCAGAAAAAAAAATATTCACATATATATATGACCATAAAAAAATTCGATTATTCTATGCAATTTGATCGGAATAAATGTCTGGAGGTTCTTTTAGCATATTTACTTGTGATCTTGTAAATTATTTTGAAACAAATTGGTAATAGTATCCTCAAGTAATATTTTTAAGATGAGACTGATATAGCATAATTCT